ATCCACCCCCATTCATCTGTCCATCAAATCCACTCATCCCCCACTCACCATCAATCCCCCATCCATCTGTCTACTCATCGATTCACCCTCCATTCCCTCTCCTCCATAATCCAGCCATTACATCACCCCATTCAAACACCAATCTCAGGACCAGCAGGTGGTGTGGTGACTAAGGTGCTGGACTCCCACATGGCTGACCACAGTTTGAGTCCCAGACCTGGCAGCTTGATTTCTCACTTTCCCTTTTTCTCTCTCACTGATTAAATTGAAATAATAATAATCAATGAAATGAAATAAACAGTTAAAAAAAGCCAACCTCATGAACAGTTACTATGTATAGATTCTTGCTAGATACACTTCTATTATTTTATAGGTCTTAAGGTTATTTGGGAGATGAGGAAATTGAGGTTAACTTGCTACTAAGGATAATAGAAATGGCCACCCCAAAAACTAACACTAGTGGCCAGCCAGGTGGTGTGGTGGTTAAGGCAGCTGGATCCCACATGGTCACCAATGTGGTTCAAGTCCCGGACCTGGCAACTTGAAAAACACACCAGGCACGTTTATGTGTGTGTCCCAAATCCTGAGATGAGAATGGAGGATGATGGATTGTGGTGTGACCATCCCACCGGGGTGTGTGTGTGGTGATTTATCACTTTCTCTTTGTTTCTATCTGTCTCTCTCCAGTGAATGGACACAACCTAAAGCAAAAATCTCTTAAGAAAAAAAAATTATTTATTGGCACCAGCAGGTGGCGTGGTGGTTAAGGCATTGAACTCCCACAGGACAGACCACGGTTTGAGTCCCAGACCTGGTGGCTTACTTTGTCACTATCTCTCTCTCTCTGACTGTCTCTAGTCAAATTAAAAAATATATAATAATAGGGGAATAGCAGGAGGCATGGTGGTTAAGGCACTGGATACTTCCACATGGCTGACCATGGTTCGAGTCCCAAACCTGGTGGCTTGCTTCCTCACTTTCTCTCTCTCTCTCTTTCTCTCTCTGTCAAAATAGAAATAAATGAATCAATCAATAAATTGTTTTAAAAAGATTGTATTTCCAAAAAAGTGAATTAATAAATACAAGTAAATAATTTTTTTAAGAGGTGTTTGCTATAGGGCGTGTGCGCTTGCCAGACACACAGAGACATAGAGACAGAAAGCGAGAAATCACCCCCCAGGGGGTATGGCCACGCCACAACCCCTTCTCCTCCATTCTCCTCTCGGGATCTTGGGCACACATGGCGTGAGTTTTAAGCCACCAGGTCCGGGATGCGAACCGCAGTCGACTACGTGGGAGTCCAGTGACATAGCCATTACGCTAACTGCTGGTTCCCAAGTAAATAATTCTTTAAAAATATATATAATAATTGGGGCCTGCTGGTGGCATGCTGTTTAAGAGTGCCGGACTATTTTCTTTTCTTTTCTTTTTTTTTGGAGAGGTTTTCACTATAGGGCGCGTGTGCTCACCAGAGAGACAGAGAGAGACAGAGAGAGACAGAGAGACAGAAAGTGAGAAATCACCCCCCCAGGGGGGATGACCACGCCGCAATCCCTTCTCCTCCATTCTCCTCTGGGATCTTGGGCACGCACGCACACGCGCCCAGTGTGAGTTTAAGCCACCGGGTCTGGGATGCGAACCTCAGTCACCTACGTGGGATTCCAGCGACATAGCCCTTACGCTAACTGCTGGTCCCAAGAGTGCCGGACTATTAAACCACCAGATCTGGGAGTCCAACTGCAGTCGACTACATGGGAATCCAGCGATGTAGCCGTAGGCCATTTGCTGGTCCCAAATTATTTATTTCATTAAAAAAAAAAATCATTCAGAATCTTTAAGTGGCAGGTAGGGAGGGACCAGCGAATGGCGTAATGGTTACATGGCTGGACTCCCACGTAGTTGACCATGGTTTGAGTGCCAGCCTGGTGGCTTAAACTCACGCCCGGCGCCTGTATGTGCGTGCCCGAGATTCCCAAGAGGAGAATGAAGGAGAAGGGATTGCGGCGTGGCCATCCCTCCTGGGGGAGGGGATTTCTCTTTCTGTCTCTCTGTCTCTTTCTGTCTCTCCGGGGAGCACTCTTGCCCTATAGCAAACATCTCTCTAGAAAAAAGAAAAGATAAAAGCGAGTGGGAGGTGGAATTGACACCACTAGGTTGGGGCGGGGGCGTTTCTGCCTTCCCTGAGCTAATGCACAGGATTCAGGAGGCAGATCGAATTTAGGGCTCCCTGAATAGCAGGAGGTACGGACTCTGGGGCCAGCTGATCTCGGGTCCTCTGTGAGGCTGTTTCCTCATCTACCAAACAGGGCTGACCGTGGTGGCTGCACCTGCTGTAAATGTTCCATAAATACAGGGCAGAGGGAGGGAGAGACGGAGAGAGGGAAGCGCGAGAGCCGCTGGAGCTGCCCAGGCCCTCCCAGCCCCCAGCCGGGTCTCCGGGCAGTGGGGCGCTCCTACCTGCTGGGGCCGGGTCCCCGCGCCATCTCCGCGCTCA